CCCCAAAACCCCAAAACCCCAAAACCCCGTATGACTAATTTGATTAATAATTATTAAGAATTGAAATTATATTTTGCAATCGAGTAGTTTAATTCATTACAATACGTGGAAATTTCATTTATTCAAGTAATCATTTGATAATTCGCTAAATTATTCTCATTTAAATCTTATTGGCTAGTTGTGCTGATACTTTTGATATTGAAAATGACCACTTTTTCTATTAAGATTTTTCCTATTCCAACCATCTTCTTCATCTTCATCATCGTTATATATTAAGTTATCATGATCTTCACATCGATCTCTATCATCATAATTAAGAATTCTATTTTCCTAAAAGACATTTGCTTGCCTATTATTTTGTAGGAAATTATTATCCTCATCATCTTCCTCGAGATATTTATCATCCAAGCAATAAGACAAATCCTTATTTGGAGAGTATCTATCATTTTCATTTACTTACTTCTTTTATGAGAAGATACCTTATGTATAAATGATATGAGTCTGCTTAGGTTTGTGGCAGGTGGTTGTATTGCTATTGATTTCTTCAAAGCATTGATTTTGATGATTATGCTAAGATCCCAAAGTAGAATTCGCAGTTTAAGCAGTAAAACCACCAGCAGGGGCTTTAGTTATTCTGTTGGATAGAACAGATATTTAGCTTTAGGAGGAGCCTTAGTATAGATTATTTTTGGCTGGCTAGGCTGACTTCTAATTCATTCTAGACCTTGATTGAGAATTATTAGATCTAGAAGACATTTATGATCTCTCTCTCTTGTCTCTTTCCATCTACTCTTGCTTTAATTTGCAACATTCTCGTCTCATCTATCTATTTATACAATGAGTTGGTGGTTGATAGTTACTTTCCATCGTACTTTATTGGTTAGGTTGAGTTGGATAAGTAGAATCAATCGTTGATGTTTACTTACGATCGAAACTGCTTTAGTTCTTACTTTTGCTTTTACTTTTGAAGTTAAATAAGTTTAGTTGTTTAGGAGATGTGATACATGTATTAGCTTTTTAAGTTTAAGGTCTTCTGGAATTAGGATCATCTAAATTTTCGTTGTTTTTATCCGAGTCTTAGATCAGAAATACTTCTTAGCCAATGCTCTAGTTGTTTCTATTTCCTCTGATTGGAGTGACTTTTATAGATTGCCCTCTGCCGTTATCAATAGTCCTCATCTGTCTTTAATCTTTTCTGCTTGTATTTACTGCACTAATATTTTTAGAATCATTCTTTGTAAAGTTAGTGGTCTTTTCAATGAATGAATACTAAGATTAATCCTAATCATAATAATTGCGTGTCCTGTGAGAATCTCTTGATCTGGAATTACTTGATTAATTATGAGTGCTGATCTTTGAAGGGAGAGATGAATGCTATTCCTTGATTAACATCACTTCCTTGACATTGCTTTCAAGATTATTAAGTCTATATTCTAGATTATTGTCATATCTCATTTATTCTCAATTTTCAAGCTCTCTTACTCTTTTCTTTAATTTTTTATTGTCTTCAAGTGCTCCAATATATTTATTTTCAAGGTCTTCATTTTTTATTCTCAGCTATCTGATCTAATCTAGTAAGTACTTTTCTCTTCTATACTAATGGTGCATTTAATCTTCGATGCAACTAGACTCATTTAATGCTTGAGAATGATTGTGCTATTCCGCTTCATTAAACAAGGTTTAGGGACTTTAAACGTAATTACTTAATTGGCTGTGTGGTGGCTAGTATAGTTTCCTAGTGGTTTTACAATTATTCATATCTATTGAACCCTTATACTAATGCTACAGATTATTAGATGAATTCTTTGTCTATTTTTTATCATTTGATAGCACATTATTTGTTCTTTCCTTAAAAACAAATCCAGCTTTGTCACTTTAAATTATATCTTCATTAACTTGCTATCTCTTTTATTCTCTTATGTCATTATTAATGTCTCGTAATTATTAAATTTTAAATTTATGATATTCTTTCTCTATTTCTTGGGCTTTGCCATTCCCATTAAAAGTTTTATTCTAATTTGTGGATAAATTGCTAGTTCAGTTTTAATTCCCATTTGATCCCATTTATTTTTGCAAGTTTAGTATTTCTTATTTCAACAACTTGTTTTCCTTCTCAATAAAATCATTCTAGAGTGAGTTAACTTATAGTCTCATTTCTTTTGACTTCTCTTGGTAAGAACTCTGATGGGAATGAGAGATTTGATAAGGTTAATAAGGGAGCTGTTGCTTATTTAAGTGATTATTCATATTTACGATTTATTTCAAATTTAAATAGATCCATCATATATTCGGTAAATTGACTATTTGGGGTTTTGGGGTTTTGGGGTTATCGGAAGAGCACACGTCTGAACTCC